AGAGGTTGGAGAGGACACGCCCCCACAGGCGCCAGCAATGGGTTTGAGACTCGAGGATACACCAGGGAGCACTCGGCAGACAAAGGAGAGATTGCAAAGAAAGGAGACCCCTTTACCTTCGTCGGAAAAGACTCCTTTGCCAGAAGGGACGGCAGAAAGGAGGAGAGAGAGGGCAGCTGTAAGGAGAGAAGCTTTGACTTTGATTGATAGGCACCTAGCAGCTTATGCCCTGGAGCATCCAGACCTGGAAGAGCCAGCACCTGCTGAGCTGCGCCGGGAGCCGTGCCAACCTGAGAAGGAAATGGAAGCAGAAATCCCGAAGAGGGTCGACCTCCGCACGAGGGAAAGGGTGCCAGCTGGAGAAACGGCTGAAGAAAAGAGGGTGAGAAGAACAAAGCGGATAAATGAGATATGGCAAGAAAGGCAGAGATTGGAGGCGGCGGGGGAGCTCCCGGAGCAGCAACAGGAGAAGCAGAGATCAGAGGCAGCAGGAGCACTCCCGGGTCAGCCACCCAGCATACCCGCTAGGGCCCCGGAGATCCCTGAGATGTGGAGGGACTTCTGGGAGCAGAGAGGAGAGGAGCTTCCATCGCCAGTCAGAGCCGGGTTTGGGGTAGCCAGGAAGGCGGAAGAGAGGTTAGATCGTAAAATCAAGTTCCTGGCCAAGACCACTTTTGACCAGCACTCGTTATTGGAGGGCGATCTGACAGGGAAGAAGATAAAGGAAGTAAGCCATGGAGTACGTCTGGAGGCTATGGAGATGGAAATTCAAGAACTCAGGATCTTGGTGGCCAGCCAGGCAGCTATCATCGAGAGCCTAAGGCAGCAAACCCAGGAAAGGGTGGACAGGCCAGAGAGCAGCAGGCAAGGAGAGCAGAGGCAGCCAAGACAGGGATTGCCTGGACAGCCACCTGCAGCGGAGCCTCGCCAGGAGCCACCTATGGGGAGAGCTATCCTGGAGCCAAAGGAGGCGAGAGCCCAGAGACAGGCAGAGAGGGAGGCGTTCGAGTTTAGAGCCCCTACTGAGCTTGCGACGCTGCCAGTAGCGGCGGCAGGCCCAGCCGTACCTTTGGCAGTAGGGGAGGGGCTGCCACCATCTAGCAGTGAGTCGGCTCAGGGCTCAGCAGAGGGATCTATGGGCGTGCTCCTTGDGGCGGTGCATGATATGCAGGAGGAGGTGAGTTTGTTTTCGCCTGAGCAGAGGATGGAGGA